GAAAAATCATTTTAATCCTTTTTAAAGACATTTTTCATTTTTAAAAGGCATATTTCAACAAAATATGTGATTTTATTAACTTTTTGTTTGAAAACACACAATTTTAAAATTAGTATTAGAATTAACATTTTTTTTAACAGATTTCTGTGTAAAAATTAACAATAGGTTATTTTTTACACTCAAAAATTTAAAATATGTCTAAAAAGGTAGCATTATGCATCTAAAATGTGGAAATAAGTCAGAGAATATTGTTTTTTCATTTTATATGACTTAACATTATTTGCACCAGCTGACCGCAGTCAATTATAGTGTCTACAGACTTTGCGGTAAAGGGTGTTAAAGCTGATTTTTCAAGAATAGACTAATTCTAGGTTTGCGAATGAATTTTCAGCACAAGCAACAACTGCGATAAAATGTAAACAAGTAGAATATGTTCTCACAGAATGATAATTTCTACAGACACATGATTTATTTTAATTTATTCACACCCCCAGTGATACATATATTACTGCATTGGAAGAATAGAAATAATGAAATGAGTCAGATCTGTCTAATAAACCTAATACATAAGCTACATAAGTAAAATTCATTAAGAATTTTTCACAGTAAGGAAGATTATGACCAAAAAATCCTGAAATGCTGCCAGGGTCTGCATGATAATACTTATTCTGAGTTCTAACCATGCATCATACATGTAGTGCAGAATGTCACTTAGCACCATGGCATGCCTCTTGTGGTTCTCAGGACTTTATTCATGCTTTCGCAGCTGACATTCATGTTTTTTCAGTTTGTCAGAGACTGTTTTTTGTTATTTTTTCATTTATATGTAGGTGTTGACTGTCACTTTTGAATTAAGTCTCACTCAGTGAGGCTTATATGAGCATGATCTATTAAGTATATCATTGTACTGAAATATTAATAAATTCCAAATTTAACTGATGAAAAAATTTGGCATATTTACATAATTAAAATATCAGAATAGCTATAATTCAGCTAATAAGGTGCACCTTTCTTCTCAGATCACTTCCTATAAATTTTATCAGCAGTTTTTTGTACACCCACCCACCTCAAAGAATCATTGAGGATGTCCTGAATCTGGTCTCTGTGATGTATTTTGTCACATAGAAAGTGTTCAAACTCATAGAAATGTTTAATATTTATATTTTAAAATTTAAATGTTTATTTTTTATTGTAAATTTGTTGAAACAAAAAGATATAATCTTGCATAAATCATGGAAATTCATTAAACTCCTTTGGAATTCCTGAGTAAATCCATGAAAAGAGAATAATTATGCATGTTAAACTGAAATTTCATGGCTAATTTGTGTCTTAAGAGAAAGCCAGTTACATAAATCACAACAATAAATTACATCTGAATTGTTGTCTCCAGTTTCTTATCATCAAAGCCAGTTTAATGGAGTGTGGGAGCTGTGAAGAACCTCCCTAGATGCTGATATGATTTTGACTGCCCTGAGTTACAACACAGCATTTAGATAAACTTCTGCACAGCAGCTTGTAGACAAATACCTAGGCTTTATTTGGAACATAAATTGACCAGATAGTTTTCATTATCAACCCAGTATTTAACAATTTCTGTATTTTTGTTCATTCCTTTAAGGGGAAAATGCAACTTTGTTATGTAATAATTACATAATGGCCTTAGACTTGTAAAGTCTTTTCTGTTTGTGATGAAGAACAAAGCATATACTCTCCACAGATAAAAAATTGGTTGCTAAGCTTATTCTTTTAATGATGAAATTCTGCTTCAAAAGATGCACAAAAAACTGCTTCTAGAGTGCTCTGTGTGTTATTCTTGACTGCTCTGGAGTAAGGGAGATAAATGCTTCATATCTTCAGAAATAAGGGGATTTAGATCACCAGACTTAAGGATGTTGGGGACAATTATTTAAGGAATCTCAGGTGCAAAAATGGAAAAAATCGAACACCTCCAAAGGTCCTTCAAGGTATCACACCGGTAATTGACCAATCAAAATGAACTTAGTCAAATGTAGGTCCATATATATAAAATATTTTTTCTTTCCTTTTGAGACGTTTTTCTATTTTCTTCCATGCCATTTTTACAACTTTGGTACCTGTGCCTAGTAAATTTTATGTACTTTGCGAATAAATAAAGGTTTTTGACAGGAACTATTTTTTTCATGGCATAGGAGGCTACTTCCTGTAGTGCACTCGAGGTGTTTATAAACACAGTGAAAACACGTGGATTTGAGGGTAGCCGTGTTTGCAGATGGAAAAAGTCCGAAAATGCCGTGTGGGTACCCTGTTTTTTGGTGTCAGCTAATGTGACCGGTAATGTTTAACACCTCCTGCTAAATATTTTTTCATGTAAACAAATACCCAATTTTTAACGATTTTTTATTCTATATAGAATTATATAGTGAAAACAATTACCGGTGTGATACATTTAAGATGAATGTTTGTGTTAATTGAACGGATACTGTTTGGAGATTTGATGTTATTTTATCATACTTATTCTTTATCATTTATAGAAAAAGCAAAACGGACCTGAACAAAGTAAGTACGATCTAGTTTTTTATTTCCAGTACCAGCGTCAAAGCTATGGTTGCTTTGTTACAAAAGCTTGTTTAAAAAGGATCATTGTTCCAAACATATATTCAACACAAGGATCGGATAAACATTTTGATTGCTTTATATTTATTTGGGCAAATATAGGTTACCTTGGCATATCTAGTTTTACTTAAAAAAATAAATAAATAAATATAGTTTCCACAAGAAATTGTTAAACACACGTATGATGAAGAAAAATGCAAGAAAGATCAACATTTACAAAAATTTAGCAAAGATTCCTTATATAAATGAACATTAAATTTTAACTGCTTCTTGAGCTTGTAGAAAAACCAGAGCCCTCTTTCTTTATGTTCGAAATATTGGCAAGCAAGCGCTTCCATTTCCTATATAGACAAGTGTTCTTGTTTTGATTGTAAATAATTTATGTTCGTTTGAGTGAAACGAATTAGAACATAAATTTATTTATCATATGTACTAGGAACACGTGCTTTTGTTTATTATGTGCTAATAAAAGCGACAGTAGCTATTGGTCAGTATTTAAAGGTCGATACGTGTAGAACAGGTGAACAGGTATTCACTTTAATCACGCTTTTAACTCATTCGAAGGCTTTGCTTTGTGATATTCACACCCACCCACCCACCCACCCTGTCACTTACTTCACCCATTTTACTTGTATTTTGTTTAATAAAGAAAGTAATTGTTTTCATTACAAGAAAATTAAAAGTTTTGTACACAACGGATTGATTGTCAAAGATGGGAAACAATTTGCTTAGTCGCTTTTGATAATTTTATGTAAAATTTGATATAAATGTAAGATTGTTGTGTAATGGTACACAGTAGCTACATATAGTCGAAATGTGATTATAAATAGTTCTAACTAGTACTTACATTTATTTTGCATAGGTTTTATTTAAACTAGTCAATTAATTGTACATTATAATATATGACCCTTACGTAAGTTTGTGAGAATGAGTCCGCCATTCATTTTGTTTACCTCGCAATTGCTGCGGACTTACAGGTTTCCATAGTTTTTTCAACATAGATCGATGTTGTTTTTTATCTATGGTTTTTCCTGGGCGGCGAGGGAAGCATAATTATGTTTATACATGCATTATATTACGTTTTTAATTAGTGAAGTGAGGAAATATAAAAGCATTGTGTTCAAATGCATTTTTTACTCTTATGTGTGATTAATTATATTTTTGATATATTGTAGAAGGAAGGTAGAGAATCGGTACCATTGAAGACTTGTGTTTTGTAAATGTATACGTCTAATAAATATTGGCAAGCAAGCGCTTTCATTTCCTATATAGACAAGTGTTCTTGTTTTGATTGTAAATAATTTATGTTCGTTTGAGTGAAACGAATTAGAACATAATCTGAAAGTCTTGTTGGAAGTTTTTCTCTTCTTCTCGTATAGAAGTTTCTGAATAAATTCTGATCCCATATAACAATAGTTTAGGTTTTGAATTCATGGAAAAATGTCACATAAGACTTTTTTCATAATGGTATCGTACGTTGTTCCTTTTTTCTGTTATACAGTATTTTTAACATACAACTAATGAGAAAACTGTATAAGGTGTACTCGGTTTTTAGTAAATCCGGATCGAGGTTCAAAAAGCTGTAACTGTTATCCACAACCTGGTACAGGGAGATATAAATGGACTACAAGGAAAACAATACTTATTAAATCCAAATTAAAAAAATTAAGAAATATATATCATTCTTCGCTCAAAATAAAAAATAAATGCGTCTTTCATTAACGTGTCAGTTAAAAAAAGATATTTGCAAGATGATTTTGTAATCACAAAATGAAAATAAATCTGAGCTGAATTTTTTTTTATCTTCAAAATGAACCTTGCAGAAACATCTATAAAGGAGCAAGATACAATATTTTTAATTGCGTTGTATTCACTTAATGTTAAATCTTGTAGATTAGTTAGATAATAAAACAAGTTGAAAATCATAACAAGCAATTTGACAATAAAGTATCATTGTTTCATTTATTTTCCCTTTTCTGTTTTTTAATAACTCATATAAAACTTGCACATCAAAAGTAAATCCAATTTTATTTTTTCAAAAATATAAAACACATTTAATAATTTTTTTTACAGGAAACGTAAATACTGTTAATTAATTTATCTTTTACATTAGTCTGTGCATTAAATGAAAAGATTGTAACAATTAATATTCTTTTATAAAAGAATTATATTATATTTGTAATATTTGCTTGATCTTCCTATATTTCGTAGTTTCTCTTTCAAACATATTATATATAACATAAATACACTATATATTATAAATAACATGAATACATAATACATATGATACCATAAATACATTTTTATATAATGTAAATACATAGAATATATATATTCAATCAAAATGAACAAAATTCAATAAAGTTATGAAAAATTTACATTTAAATACATAATAAATGTTATATACGACAAATATGATAACAACATCCTTTAAAAAATATTCACAAACGAAATTCTTATCTTACGTACAATATCATGTCTAATATGTAGTTAAAAGTTACATGGCATTATGCAATATGTCAATTTAACCAAATCGAGAGATTTTATACACGTCACTTCATTTTAATAAAGGTTAATGCTTTTTATTTAGCTAATTTACCGACTCAAAATTTTAATTTGGTATTTACATACACATTAGCACAAATGATAAAATTAAAAAAGTTTATTGAAATATGATGTCACGTTTACCATTGATTAATATTCTTAATATAATTTGGCCTTCTTGCGGTTTTACCACAGATACATTGAGAGTGTTTATTAGTAAACACAATAAATCAACTATATTAAAAGCTATCATAACATTCCAACCACATGATTACGTAACCATTCAGTGATGACGTCATAGTTTTCATTCATCCAGTTTATGTTCGCCCTTAAAAGAAAAAAAATATTCAGTTTTATATTTTACTGAATACAATAATTACTGCAAGACATTAAACTAAGGCGCATGACCTCTTCTAAAAGATACATATAATATATTACATTAAAAGATAAATATAATTTTAAAGAATTTTGAAAAAAAAGATTCAAATATCCATACACATTTTTAGAACATTTTTGGATGTCGTCTGACCTATAACACATCTTGCAGGGCAACACAAATTGAGTATGATAATCTGTCGGCACAGCAAGGTGTGTTATAGGACTGACGTTATCCAAAAATATGAATTCAATGCTTATATATACATACTTTAACTTTCCCTTTTCATAATTGTTTATTTTGTTTATCATTCCTGCAAATTTACGCCCTTCATATTTGGTGTGATTAATAGACATTTATAACAGCTGCGTAAGAGCTATTTCTTACGTTGCAACGTTAAATAACGCAAACGAACATGCAAGAGAAAAAGGGGAAATTTTATTTTGAACGCACATTAGATGTATTTTTACGTTGATTTAACGGGGTTATAGTTTTTATTTATTAAATTGAGTTAAAACATCATACATTATGATGATCCTAGAGTATTGTAAATGTATATACCGGGTAGTTCTTACTTTAGATTACAGATATATGTTATAGATAATAACTCACATGATAAGGCCTGTCTATTGTATAAAATCACTAATTTACAAACCTGACGATTTACCTGTATGTTTGTAACTCACCTAATAACAGCTAAGGAAGCCTGGGTTTGTTTTTTTGCAACCTTAGGAGGTTTATCCTTAAATAAGGTTGCCAACTAAAATAGATAATTTCATTTTATCATATTTAGTTTTAAAAATTGGCTATGCAATGCAATATATCTAATTTAATAAGTTTTTTGTCAAGGAAAAACAAATTTTTTCCACTGTTTTAAAAGTGTTCTTTCAAGGTACATGCCATCAAATGAGTCCTGGACTGAAAGTTGCGTAAATATATTGTCTATTATTACCAATTATTTTACAATTAGTCAGCTATTCGGAGTACTACATAAATATGACAGGAAAGTTGACATACATTATGTCTGCCCTGCAGCTTCAGGGTCCTCACTTACCTGATTATATTCAAACTCAGAGTTAACAAACTGAGTTACTTCAGCAATTGTCTCTCTAAGTAGAAAATTGTCAAATCCAAATCTGAAAAAAAATCTTTGGTTAAAACACAAAAATTTTATGTTTAGTTTCTTTTCCTTACATTTTTAAATGCTTTCGATATAAAATTCAAATTTCATATATATGTACCGGTATGTTTCAGTGATTTTAATGCTATTCAAGACATTTACATGTATGTACGGATAATGTAACAAAAAATTACATGCAGTTCCTTCGTCAGTTAATATTTCAAACAATACTTCGAGGTAGGAAACTAAACTTAAAAAACTTAACTAGATTCAAAAGTAAATAATATAAAATCTTGATTTGCCATTTTTCCCTTTTCAAAATTATAATATGAAACAAAAACTAAATATTAATTAAGTCTACTTTAACTTTTACTGCTTAAGGACGAAACGTACTGGTCATTCAATCTGTCCCACTTTGTCATAAGTAAGTGAAGAGTGATCATCCTTCCTAGAGGGCGCTTTGACAGATAACTTATAACGAGGCGCACGTCCTGCATTCTTATCCTCGAAGAATCAAAGATCCAGTTGGCATACCTGTTCACGGAATGAAATGATATAATCTGATTTTGAAAGATGACATTGATTAACACAGAGATATTTCAGGAAAAGAAGTCATAAAATATATTGTTATTAAACATCGGAGCTATTAAACGTTGACGAACTGACATTTTTAGTTAGAAACGTTTCTTTTCAAATGAAAAAAGAGACTTAAAATTGAACACATTGAAAGTTTCAAGGCCCAAACTCTAATTCAAAGTCCAAAAATAAAAATAAGTTGAAAGTATTGAAATTGTTCTAAAACATTCAAATAAATCGTAAAATCTGAGACCTGATAAAACGAAAATAAGAACGAGGGAAAAAAATAAAAAAAAAACAAAGAAGGAAAGGTAGAAAGAAAAGTAAGAAAGAAAAAGGAAAGGGGAATAGAGAATGTTACCTCCAGAGTAGCCAAGGTTTCTGTGACTGTCCTAGCGCCTCCATCAACATCTCCCTCTCTACTGCCACGTTAGTGGACTGTGACTTGTTCCAGACGTAGTCCCAATCCTCCACCCCTCCCTCCCTCACCCCCACCATATAGATCACTGAGGAGTAGTCACTGGGCAGGCTACAGATAGAAAACAATATAGATTTGTGACGTAATTAGGAAGGCTAAAAATAGAAAACCATATAGATTACCGAGGCCTAGTCACTGTGCAGACTAAAAAATAGAATACCATATAGATCACTGAGAAGTAGTCATGTGGCAGGCGGCAAAAAATATAATAACACAATATAGATTGCGGGTGAGTTCTCACTTGACAGGCTAAATATAGAAATAACACCAAACTTCAGCAGAGTATGTATCAAAACAATACTGAGGAGACTAAAATATTGGATATTACATCAGAAATGAACCACCTTCCTAATAGATCTTTACATTTCCCACCAAAGATTATCCCTCTCGCTACTCTTCACTGTTAGTCACATGTATAAGTGTGGTACAATATGTAACAATACAGGGCCGTATTGTCTGCCATGAGTTTAAAAAAAATTCAGAATACTGTTCTACTAAAATATGAGGTCAAATAATAGGGTATAAAGATGTATCCTTTAAAATTCAGATTGTGATTTAATAGCTTTTTGTAAAACATGAATTTCAAAAATCTTTGATTTTTTTATGAAAAAAATCTTTTTGAGTTAATTATTTAGCTCTTTAATATTCAAATTGTTCCAAAAATGATTAACAAAGCTAAAGCAACTTTTAAATATATTGTCAGATGCATGATTTGTAGAAAAAGACATTTAAGACACATTTATTTGTATAAAAATAAAATAAAGACGACAGGCAATTTGTTTTACAACAACATCCCAATTAGCAAAAGGGCATGATATATTGTACATTTGTTACATTAAAATTTTCAAATCCAAAGTTTACACTTATCTATAACTATAGTTATTATAGTTAAATTTAAACTTAAGATTTAAACTTTTAATGTAACACATTATCCCTTGGCATTTTAAAGATAAATTATATGGAGAAAACAAACAGTATTTAAGCTAACGAATAGTAATCAAGATCAAAAGTCAATTAACCAATACAAATTTCGGAGCAGAGCAAACAGACCTCTAATTAGAGGTGGGACCAGTGCCATGGAGGAGTGAGCATCCCCTGCTGACCGGTTATTCTCGATGTATAACTGAATACTTACGTGATCCCTTCGTCTTTCCAGAGGTAAAACATTTTCCTGGCGTAAGCTACTGCCTTCTTGTATCCGACATCACAAGCCAGCTTCAGAATAGTTTGTCGTAAGAATCTATACGAAACAAATATAGTAAACAATGTTTGTATTAATCTACTTTGTGATTTAAATATATTCAATTGCTTACTAATATCTACTACTATTTTTACCGCAAAAGAAGTAAATATGAATCTTAGCCTTTTTAGAATAAGGAAAACCAAAAAAAATCTGAGATCTGGTAAAAGTATTTAAAAAGATTACATATTAATATATGAAAGATACATTTAATTTTCGTTAAAATCATACTCATGAAAATTACATATTAAACTGCAAAATTAGCAGAAATGTAAGCTTTTTTAAATTATGAAAAACAAAAATCTGAGGGTTTAGTAAAATGATTTTTTTATCTTTGGTAGTCTATTTAGTCTAGCTTTGATCTCTGGGTTGCTTATCTCAATAATAAAATACGATTGATCTACACTGTCTTCTTTTAAAAACTTCATATATCGTGAATGCATCTCGTTTGTTAATCAACAAATGATGTTAAAATTCTTACTGATCATTAGATGATGCGTTGGTAAGGGATTGTAAAAATTAAAATTTGTTTTAAAAAATCAGTTGAAACCGTGTCCATGTCCCTTTAAGGGGTCGTTAACCCTATCGACAAATTGAACGAATGATAATAAACATTTATACAGAACTTCCAATTATGTACGTTCCTGTCATCTTTCTCTGAAAACTTATAGGAAAAACTTTAATATCACAGACAACATCTACCATCGCTGATACATTTCCGACTGCTCTCCGAGAAAACATATTTCTTTCTGTCAATTAAGGGGGATGTACGACCACCTTTAGTGCTGTGAGAACAAAATGTAAACATTTCTTCAAATGGCTAAAATACATCATATCTTGATCAAATTTTAAGTCCTTATGATAAAGATACAATAAATATTCATAACTGAATGCATGTTGTGCATATATAATCTATACTTTTGCAGAAAAATGCTTTTGATATGCTCCTTAGAACTGCGCAGCTACAGAATTCAGCACAGCCATAAAAAATCCAAAAAAATATGCAAACTGTGCATCAATGTTCTCTCTACAACCATTTGTTGAGAAAATGTCTAAATTTTGCACTTTTAAATGATAATTTCAAGTTCAAAACAAGGTATCGTTGTCTTCAAAAAGAGTGTAAAGAACCATGAAAGTAGTTCATGGATAGCAGCACGTGGTCTATTTTTAGCACAGAATCTTGTTTTCCAGACCTCTTCTTAATATGGAGGGACATAACAATCTTTAAATGTAGAAGAGAATTACAGTTGCAAAATATTTCAAATAGTATGAACACTTTTAAAAGAGGAAATGTGTTATAGTATGGCTTGAAGTAATTTATTTAGTATTATTATCGAACAATTGTAAAATAATGTACTTATTGATATCAAAGAAAAAAATCTTAAACTCTTTGATTCCAGGTAAGGAAAAATGAGCACCATCAAAGTTAAGAATTAAGAGTTTGTAAGCTTGCCACAGATAACTTATAATATACATCAATATTTTAATTATCACCAATGAAACACAAAGAAATTAAACACATAAAATCGATATGAATGACCTTGATTTAGTACCTACTAGTACGAGGGGTGATCAAAAAGTTCGCGAACTATCTCTATATCTACAAAACCACGATTCAGATTAGAAACAAATTTGGTGCACACATAGCCAAACACAAGTTCTATAAAATAGCATATGCTGAATTCATAAAGTTTTGCTCATAATGACGTCATTATGCAGGTACTTGTGACGAAAAATGGTTGCCTCAGTGGAACTCGTTTAACAAACGACTAAAATATTTATGGTATATCTTAAAAATTCTTTTGAAGTAGCATATAAGAATTTGTTCATAGTTTATTAAGACAAATGACTTCCTACAAATTCAATCAATGATTGGATAGATCGTTTTAGTGAAGGAAGGCAGATGGTTAAATATGATACTTGTTATATTGCCCAGTGATATATTAGCAAGTTTGAAAAGGGATGTGTTTTTAATTAAGCAATATGCTATCAAAGACCTCCAATTTACACTTTGAAAAATACTTGAATATTTCAACAATAATATAACTATCAAATACCTAAGATATATCGTTTACTTTTTGATCTACCCTCGTATAATCTGTCAAATAAACATTTACAATTTTGATTTTAGCGGAGCAACATTTGAAAAGGAATGAAATCATTCAGAGTGGGTTAGGAGATTTAATGAATAAAAAAACTTTTTCTATTTGCCCTTTTTGTCAAAATTACAATTTTACAGAGTAAAGATAAAATCAACATTAATAAATATTTTATACCATCTTTAAAATGACGTTTGGTGGTCCTCCCAACTCAGGGAAAAATTATTGGGTCCGTATTTATTGGTGAGAAAAAATTCCTAAAATTTTAAACATATTATGACGGAAGAAAAAAAAACATGTAATGGGATGTAAAAAAAAAAAAAGAGTCGGGCCATTTCTAGGCAGTAGATCGGGAGAGAGGGCAACCAAATATTTTTATAACAAATTGTCTTATAAGGCTAGTACATGTTCCATCACATACTTAGTAATGCAAAATTTTTTAATCTTTGGCACTATTTTGAAAAACAAACATAGGATTTTTTTGGGAAGGGGGGGGGGGGGTAGCCTCTCATTTTTTTGCGTGATAGACATAGCATATGCAATGGACTTTTCTTTGCAAACATTGTGCTTGCTTCTAAATTTCAAAGAAACAACTCAATATATTTTATCAAGCTTCGTATGTTCAATGAGCGAGAGCTTACAATGTTGTCAACATAATGAGACAGGATGCGTTTTTATGTCCAAACATTACTCCATACAATGTGTGGTTCATTGCAAACAATCTGGCTATTTATGTGAGGTGCCTGAAGGAAATCCTATAACTGCCTATTTTTTCTATCTAACTGCTAAACAAAATAGACACATATACCAACTTTTCGAATGTAAGAAATGTAATACAATTTGTTTTTCATGCACCGCATATTGTTTAACATTTTCAAATTAAATGCTAAGCATCCTCCTTGCAGTGCCCCATTTGAAAATAACTTCTATCGCCACAGAAAAAAGACCCGCCGTAATCACATACGTTTAGGACATGTTTTATCTTTTTTCTTGAGTTTTATAGAAACCAACAAATCATCAAGACTTGTTCCATGAAAAATTAAATATAATCATGGTAATAAACGCATCTATCCACAGCAGATATATGCACATGCCAACCACGTGCTCAGTGGAATGATATTATCGAGGAAACTCGAGCTGTAAACAGAACAGTTTTTCCCGATTTGCTGGAGTGGGGTTAAAATCGCTTTTTTTCATTAATCAGACGATGCAATGCAACAAATAAAAGTAGTAAGTCATATAACCTAATGATTATTACTTCGTAATTTCTTGTCTTGATGTTATTATGGTCGCATTTATTCTAAAACCAATGCTATTCGAACTCTGTGTGACAGAGGAATGGCGGACGAAATAAACACATGGCCTCAGGAAGACACCCATATGAAAAATCAAATTTTCAAGAATTATTGATAATGACAAGAAAAAAGCGAAACAAATGGTTGTAGCCATATTATCAATGAATCAAACTAACACTATATTCAATGCATTTTTCATCTCGTGAATGCTGTAGCTGCGCAGTTCTATAATGCTTAATTTCCTCCTAATTAAAACAAAATAAACTTAATTATTAACTGATTTTGGTCTCGAACAGTAGGTAATTAGTGCATTAGCACTTTGAGTAACTTTGGGCTAGTTTAGTAGAGTATTAAGCGCATTCTTGGTATTTCTTATTTTACACCAGACTAGATCCAATATGGCTTGTACATCCCCCTTAAGTAAGACAAAGAGTCGCATTATCTCGTTCATAATCCGGAATATTGACCGTGACTGATTCATATGTTATTGAACTCAAAAAATGATTCGGAGTCCCCTGAGACAAATTTCTTTTGAGAGATACTTTAATTTGAGGGGACAGAAAAGCATAAATCGTACTTTATACTAAGTGTAACAAGATATTGGCTGTGGAAGCTACGCAGTCAAAATGCTATCAGACATGCGAAGAAAAATGGCGTCTATATATACGGTTCTATATGATAAATGCATGATTATATTTACGCAGGAAATGTCTTTTGCGACGAAAAAAATAATTCCTTTGTACTTTAAAATGTTATTACAGTCATGTTCTCCTTACTATTTTGCAGGGAAATTTTATTAAATAAATTTTTATTTCTTTTTTTAAATTATGAATTTTTTACCGGGATCCTCCTATGTTGTTTTTCTTTAAAACATCTACGATCTATAGTCTTTAGAGTAATGTACTACAAGCTTTTTTTCTATTATGACCGTTACTTTGTATACTTTTGGTTCTTTTTGAGGTTGGGGTGACTGTCTCTCTTTATATGAAAACCTCTTAAATATCTGGTTGATGTTCATACCTGTCTGGTAGAATCCCTTCCATTGACATCTCTATAGAGTCGTACACTGGCGCCACGAGGTCAAGAAGATATTTCTAAAACCCGAAATGACAGACAGAAAATCAATACCCGAAAATGTACAATCAACAGCAAATATAACAATAATGCATAGATAATAAAATAACGCGAACACAAGTCAAATGGCCCTGTCAGAGCCAATAAAAGGAGATACGATAATGACCGCGGTCTTTCCGATTGACCTTGATAGATTTGGACACTGATCGGTAAATGACTGTCATTTTTAATTTAAACTGATGATAAATGATATTGACAGAGAAAAGAAATATAGTATCGTGTATTTGCTTCACTGGTCTTTGGTTATATCAATTTTCTTCTCATAGGAATTTGTGATTTTCTTCTTCTTTAAATAACTAGTCTTAGTAGTCTTAGAGTCTTGCGCGTTTTATTTTATTCCTGTACTAAATGTTGTACAAAAGTTACATATCATATTCAAATCCATTGTAAAGTTCACGTTAATTTTAAAAATTTCATAAGTTTCTAAAATAGTTCCTGAAGATATACTATCCGTAAACTTTAATTTTCGGGTTGAAAATATACGAGTGAGTTTCAAAAGCTCCCTTGTTTTGCTCTTATTAGACAAAACAAATATGTGAAGAAGGCAAAAAAAAGGACTCGAGAAAGTATAGAGCTGGGATCAGGTGCCTGGGAGGAGAAAGCATCTCCTTTTTATTGGTCATTTCTTTTCGCTATGAGCTGTATATGTTGATCAGAGGTAAATGGAACATTAAGTATGAAACTAAAGGTCTAAAAGCTAAATTATATAACAATTAATGATTGTTAAAGTGATTCTCAGAAAAACCTTTGGCACTCAGACATACTTAACTACATATAATAAGAAAAAATAAAATACATGTTAATAATATTCAGTAACTTAAATGGGCATAGGCTCTTTTATCACTTGTAACCCTTTTCGTGAAAATAGGACATGTTAAAGCACATATTTTTGTGGGGTAAAATTTTCGTGGTTTAAGGAAATAAAAAGGATTCTTTCGAACTTAATTTCGTTGATGAGGAATTGTTTGGTAATTAGATGGCATTTAACATTTCGTGGTGGACATGAATTCATTGGTCTCTTCATACCTTGAAAACAACGAAAAATACCCCCACGAAAATTAGTGATTAATATTATGCTCCATATATGCTAGTTTTTATTAGTCGAATATATTTCTTTATTAAGCTTTGATATGTAGAATGAAAAAAACTTCCAGTAAATGCTCTTACTTGTAGGAGGACATATGCCCCAGACTTTGATATCGAGCTCTTGATGTATTCCACAGAATCCAAAAACGCTACCCAAGGGGCGTAACCCCTCTCATTCTTTAAGTATGTCGTCATCTTTAATGCAACGTCATAGTTCAGTAATTTTGCCCTAAAGTCAATAGTTAAGTCTTAATGTTAACTAATATGTGGATTTTTTAAAATTAATAAAAAAAAAATAATTCATCGATTCAGCATTAAACAAGATAAAATCATATCATTGCTATAAACCTGGCCAAGTTGAATGAATCTCCAATTAAACCGGCTCTGTTTGCCTCCGGGAAAATCTGCAAAATCAAAAAAAATGTAGTTTGATAAAAAAAAATCGATAATATGATCTGAAGTACACCGCGATATTTTTTATTAAATCATTCCAAGTAAAGAGAAATATTGAGAAGACAAATAAAAGTACAATTTTTAGCCGGGCTGTCAAAAAAAAAATAAAGCTATCCAGTGAACAATGGTTGAATATACATGCGTTTTTAACTGGATTTTAGCAAATAATTAATATCTTTTGTAGTAAGGACAAAAGAAAAATTCATGTGTTTTGCCTCTGAAAATTTAAGTTATTTCGGGGGCATTTTCCTTTTCATCATTATTGGAATGATCTCAATCCCATTTTAAATCTCTTCCCCCACCATATACGTAACGTTACTTTAAAATAATCAGTATTTTTTTATCAAAACTCAATACGCAAGTTTCGAGATTATCTCCCTTGGTGCGCTCTTTCGTTGAGGAGGGAAGTTTCGTTTCCGAGTAAACAAACAGGTGGGACAAATATTTGATATTTATATGTTGGATACATTGTATCATCGATATACTGGTTTATGATTACTACATAATTGTCAGGATGCACTCTACTTTTCGAGAATAACCGAAACTATTTAAAGACGTAATTTTTTAAAGCAAAAAAAAAAATCGTAACAAAAAAGAAAATGTCGGTGGAAGTGAGACTTTTCAGACGAGCGAAGAAATTTGGACCTCTAATAAAAACGGTACACATAAATCTGATCACCTAAATTCTTTTCCTTATTATAACTTTAAATAATCCACAAAAACTTTATTTATAAGTTTGTACAATCAAGACTTTTTATTAAGACTACGACGTTTCTTTCGTTTTCAAGTACCTATAATTTAAAGTAGATTTGTAAATATGAATAGTTGAACTTGAAAAAATCGTCAAATGCATCGATGCTTAATATCATTATCTTTTTATAACATTTAATAAATTTTAAAAGCCATAAATATCGTTCATTTATTTATGCATCATCCATGTTTGTATACAGAAACAACCTGTCCCACCTCCCTGCCGAAATGAACACTTTTTGCGCCTCTATCGTAGGAGAGTTACAATCTAGAAAGTGGCGTATTGGATTGGTATCTGGCATTCGTAAAGTTTAAAATGACAAGAATTTCTGTATATTATTTATATATACAGAGTTATTTCCGCTCTTTCACACTTAATGAAAATAATTTTGTCCCGTTTAACATAAATTTGTTTAAGAACTCATACTGTATTCTTTGAAATCGCCCCGTTTTTAATTCGCTCAAATGACCGTAGGGCGATGGACGCAAAAATGAAATGGGGGTGAACATTTCTCTATGTACAGTATTTAACTTACGGTGTGGTTTCTGTTGAGTTGATCTGCTAGTTTTCCCCACATGTTATCTTCATAATTAACACGGTAAAATCCCATGTACTCATAATTAGCGAGGATCCAAGAGTTGGTAGAACGAGGAATTGTAGCTGTAATGAAAAGGAGTAAAACAATGTAAACAAACCAAAAAACAAAATAAATATAAAACTTCATCCTCGACGGCTTTCTTGAATTTTAGAAAGGTATATTAATTACTTGTATAGGTGTTTGCCCATAAGTTTGCTGGAGTTCTCAGCGATATCTGAATGCATTTTTTTTATTTATATCCTGGTCAAGGTAAAATATTAGTAATTTATTCTGTTATTTAAGGTAGGATTCTTCTCACATTTCTTGTATTTAAAAATCAATGAAATTTTTACAGAATCAAGAGGACAGTATCACTAAGTAACGGTATCAGTGAGATTACATTTGACCGTTTAATATTAGAGAGAAGGTCAGGTCAAGGTCATTACCTTTTTCCTGGACATTAAGAATAAAAAGATACTGTTTCCATTCATGCGATTCCTACTTGTAAATCAAAAGATTGAATGTTTTTCTTTTTGCATAAAAAGATACTACCATATAGGGCATATAAGATGAAATTACCAAATTGACAAGGATATTTTAAATAAAATGGATATTTGCTAATCCGAATTTCCTCTACTTTTCTTTAATTTTTAGGATTTATTAGTTATTTTTATATGCTTCCTATCTTTTACTTTTTCTTATTTTCACATATAGGAAAGTTGTCACATAAAGGTACAAAATGATACAAAAACTAAAAGTTTTGATCGTTTACTAAGAGAGAAATAACACTTTTTACGGTTTTTTGGCTCAAATTTGTACTTAGATGTGAAGCATTTAAAAGCCAACATAGTTCTAGTATGTGTGAAAAATCTTATTTGTTTGATATATTTTGAAACTTTAGTCCCTAATTATTAATTTAACTTACATTTGAAAATTTCGTCTAGTCTTTGATTGCGTAAAAGTTATAACTAAATTCAATGTTCTATAATAATTTTGACTGACAGAAAAGAAGATATTTTCATACGCCATCATTCCGCCAAAAATATAGTCCCTGCTAGTTTTCAAACGCAGTTTAGCATTTCTATTTAAAGTTGTTTAATTGTGTCAAGGAAAGAAAAATATGGTCTTTTAAATCTTTTACATCTAAATATATAAGACATATCAACCAATGTACTTTGAATATTCCATCTAGTCGGAAACCAGAGAAGAATCCTACCTTAAGGAATGGCTCTACTTCTTGGCCAAATTATCGAGTATAACCTGGTTTGGGTCAGTTTACGCTTTATAATCCTTATAATTTAATTTTAAGATAATTAAACAACTTTGGATGTAAAATTGTGTTGCTGTTAATGTGTTCAAATTTACCGCGCAATAATACAACCGAAGTAACGGAAGTGATGGGAAGCCAGGGGAGGTAATAACTGATACGTAGATCTAGCAGCCATGATGTGTGTTTACATGAGGTAAGATCGAGTTAGTGTTTGAAGTTAAAGATACAGTTTTTCCATGGATTCCGAGGACTTGAAATGAGCGGATTGCAAGGATAAGTGATTAAGCTGGTCGTCAACGGATGTGTTCCCATACCAAACCGGATTATAAAAAATATTTTGCGTTCGTTTTTGGAAATCAACCAATGAGAGTCGAAAATATAAACAAAATTAAATTATTTCCATATATAATATAAATAATAATTTATTGTAATGTTCTCATTCGTCCATTTCTAATAGCATGTACATGTATGATCTAGACGTTTGCTTGTCGATTTAAACACCATTAAAATTCAAAGTTGAAGCTGAATTAAAAAACATAATTGTCAGATTTAAGTCCTTAATTTGTATTTTGATAGACTTTCTAGACAGATTTGAAAATCCCGTTGTATACAGCGCCTGCAATGACAAAAAAATTATACCGTAACTAAAATTATTTTAAATTATTATCTTTACCTAAGATTGATTGATTGTATACTGTTTTTAACGTCTCTCTCCGGAATTTTTCACTGATATGGAAACGTCACCATTACTGTGAAGGGCTGCAAATTTAGGCCTATGCTCGGCACTCAGGGCCATTGAGCAGGGAGGGGTCTTTTTTGTGCCAGCACCTAATGTCAAACCGGACTTCGGTTTATACGGTCTTATCCGAAGGACCGCCCCATTTAGTCGCCTTTTACGACAAGCAAGGGGGTACTGAGGACCTTTTCTAACCCGGATCCCCACGGGGCTCTTTACCTAAGAGAGATTAATTTAAATGCAACATTTTTTTTATTTCAACGTGATTTCATTCCTTTTTTATATATTATAATTCAATCAATTAACTTATTATTAGGTCAAATATTTTAAAGAAGAAAAGAAGCCAATTACAGAAAAACCTGTGTTGTATGATCACAGATGAGGCGAGTTCATGGGTTTAGCAAAATACAATTCGAGATGTACAAGTTTCACTGTATATGGGTTTTGCTTATATGAAACGATGACTCAGATTTAATTGGGATCTTTTTGGGAGATGAATTTAAGGAGGTATAAGCCAGCATCAATACATCATACTGCTAAATTTTTCAGTAAAATGGTCCATATTCCACCTTTTTTAACCCAAAAAAATGTTACTAAAAAGGTTCTGTGCATTTTTAAGTTATGTCAGACCTCGTGATTGCAAACTCCATGGGACTGAGAAGAAATGTCGAGATTTCAACGAAGGGTAAAATACTAGTTAAAGATTAATTGGTTGGAACACCCAATCATTTTGTTTTGCAACCACTGAAGAGACCCTGATATCAGTAATCTATTCATCTAATATTAAAATGAGACATTTCTTTCTCTACATATCATAAATTTATCTAAATGATATATGTGCCTATTTTACCTGACGTATTGTTCATCCAGACCAGCTGAACTTCCGGTTCATCCTCAGTGATGTATGTAAACGGTACAACCCACCTGGAGAATAAAGAATTACTTCCGGCTACATTCATTTTTTTCTCTAAAGATTCTCTAAAGATGACTCTAGACATGCAATGATTAAATATGATTTCACTGTTGTTGACCTGCTTACTTGTAATCCTCCTGATTTGACTGCGATGTGTTGCTGTCGCCCATGTTGTCCAGGTATAGAAATCTCTCCTGAGTCAGGTTATAGCTGTCCCCGTCCGTCTGCATCGTGATCACGGGAAAACCCATCTGACGGGTCCACGTGTTCATGGTGGACTTAATGTCATATCTATAGTCAACTGCCTTGATTGTGAAGAAATATTTACAGATTTAACTAGGGAAACCTTATTGAGGCGGTTTATATCTGTGTGTTTAAAACTTTAAACCATTAATTTGTGTAATGGTTAAATTAATAAATCTTTTATTAGGTATAATCCTACTAATTATGCTAGATTGATGTCTTAGCTGCTCCTTACCTCAGAAAACGTGTCCCAAAGTTCGTCCATCTTCGCATTCCGGAACTTAAATTTGTTGACGTAGAGCTATGCGATAGAAACAATTGGATCGCTAGTTTATACATTATATTATATTGTCAGATGTTTATAAGGGATCTAAAAAATATATGTTACTCTGGAAAATTACCCTAAGGCCTTTCTGGAAATCTTCCCATCCGACAAAACCCATAAGCATCCTTAAAATAGCCATGCCCTAGACAGAAATAACATTTATATAAAAACTCTGAATTAAAATTCTGTTAAATCCTTAATGCTTCATGTCGCTTGTATCATTACGTTAGTCTGGATATATTTATTCTTACCTTGCTGTAAGAAATGGAATCGAATGATTCAGCAATGTCATCAGGAGTGGCTATAGGAGTTGACACCGGATGTGACGTCGTCATTGCGTCTTTTACCATCACCGGAAACACTTCTTTTGCGACAACGGACAGCGTGAACTAAACGATATTAACATGAGTTTAAATGCTTTTCATTAGGGAGGGTGGAATGGAAGGTGAGCTGATGAGATAAATTTTTAATCATACCACGTTCCAGTCCGGGTAGATGGCATCCATGGCGAAGTACATGAGGAGACTGGCGAATCCTTCATTTAACCAAAGGTCGTCCCACCATTTCATTGTTACCATATTACCAAACCACTGAAACGTAGGTCTACATTTTGTACACGCTCCAGTTTAATCATTGTTTTCACCAGAAAGTGTCAATAATATTACAAAGAAGCCTAGGCAACGTGTTATTACTATTTGCGAATTTCCGTGTCCTATTAATTACTGTATACGTGATTTTGAATGCTTACTGTGTGTGCAATTTCGTGCGCTATGATCAAGGTGACCATTAACTTGTTCTCGCTGGATGACACGCCTTGTTCGTAAAGTAGCGCAGTCTCGCGATAAAGCACGAGACCCCAGTTCTCCATGGCGCCACCGCTGAAATCCGGTACTGCCACGTGATCTGAATATGAAAAATAATTGCAATGTTAGAAATAGAAAGTATTTCAAATGATATTAACTAATGATAATAACTTTTAAACTTGCAAATGCATAAGCATTTCTTTTAATAGTTCTGACAGTTCATTCTTTACATGTCTTGTTATGTTTGTTCTATACCCGCTCTGTTTGATCTTTTCGTACCTATACTGTTTAGTTCGTTCCATACAAGCCTTGTTCAGTTCCTTTTATACATGCACCTGTCTTCTTCAATTCATTCTATACCGGCCTTGTTAAGTATATTTTAAGTATATTTTAAGCCTATTTTGTTCAGTGTATTTTAAACCTGTCTTGTTCAGTATACATGTATTCTATACCTGCTTTTTCATGTATGATTTGTTTTCTTTTTTCTCCTTTTTTCAGTACATTTTAAACCTGTTTTGATCAGTTCGTTCTAGACCAGCTTTGTTCAGTTCCTTATATACCCTGTCTGTACCTGTCTTGTTCACTGCATTCTAAACCTTTCTTGTTTAGTGCTTGTTAAGTTCTTTCTGAATCTGTGTTGTTCAGTGTATATTCTAAACTTATCTTTGTGCAGGACCTTCTCTACCTGTTTTGTTTAGAGCGTTCCACATCACCTATCTTGTTCAGTACCTGGTTTGTTCAGAGCGTTCTACACCACCTATCTTGTTCAGTGTTTAATACCTGATTTGTTCAGGACATCGGTGATGTTGAAGTACTCGGTGAAGAACCGGTAACACTGGACCACCATACTGATGGCGTAGTCTGTCTGGTTAATCGTGTTAGGCTGAGACCAGACACGGATCTGTAAATGTAACGCATGCAACAGACACTTACATTGAGTGAAGGGTATGATTAGGTCACCTTTAGAAAATCTGTTTGGTCGCCCTCTCCAGACTCCATTTTAAATATTGGATCGGTTGGAAGGATTTTTTTTTCTTGAAAAATTCAATTTCAATGCTATTTTTGTTAATTTTTCTAGAGTACTTTAAAAATTGCTTCATGGAGCATAAAAAACGCTGAATCGGGCCATTTTAGCCAGTCGGTCGGAAGAGGGCAACCAAACTAAAAAAAATGGCCTTATAGATACAATTAAGACCAACATCGATGGATTGTTTATTTATAGATTGACAATTGTAATTGACATCCTCAATGAAACGGAGTGTATTTTAAAATAGTTTTTAAGAGTTAAAAATCCTATGTTCAGATTCATGTTTAAGATTGAAATTGAAAATAAAGTGAATATTAATTACTGTCATTAAATGATATTTGCATGTTTATCATCATTTTCATTTACTCTTGAATCATTTTAATTTGTGAGGTAAAATATTTGTGAACCATTACTTCTTCTTTTAAAAATGTCCAAAATAAATAAATATGGTTCATTTTGATTGAATGTGTGATTAAGGATAACCACATGGTCCACAAAAACAGCTTACATCATATTTGTTATCGAGGATGACTTCTCTGTGAGCGAAGTCGGAGATGACTATAGCCAACAGATAGGTGGACATCACAGGCGTGGTCTCAAACTCCGCCGTCTTCCATCCGTTCTCCAGCGTTTCTGACATCCGGGGGGTATTGCTGATAGCTTCGTATTCTGTAAAAATTCGAAACTTAATTTGATTGTTCTTCAAAACCTGGTAAAGAAAAACTTATCATGAAACCACTGCATTACGCAGGCGACTCGAAGCTTTGGTCACCGTAACAGGTATTACATGTTTAAAATAGAGTGTTTTAAAAAAAATTTGGTTATGAAAAAATTATTAAAAAAGCGTTAATTCTACGTACTTTTATTTATTTATTTTTTTACTGTTTTAGTGTGTGGATTTTCATATGGAGTATATTGTAATAAAACGTGTGCTGTAAAAATTATTTATGAAAAAGACATAAAAGATATCTTTTGGCCCGGGGGTGTATACATGTATTCCGGGGGGGGGGGGGGGGTCCTGTGGTCACCATGTCCTGCTTGAAGACATTTTTGTAAGTGCATAACCGGAAAGTTTTTATTTTTTAATCAAATGTCAACATTGTTTTATAAGTGCATGTGATAAAAAGCTTGTTAGGTTAAATGGTCATGAAATCATTAAATTTTGAATATCAAAGAAAAATCTTCGTTAATCTACTATTTCAGAATTTGATATTTTATAAGTTACATCCTATTTTAGTTGAGAAATACACCTTTTACATATCATATTTAACATTTATTTTTATTTTCAAAAAAGAGATTACAGGTGTTTTTAACTTGTGGAGGTTGTTGCGTCGTATTGTTTTAAATATTTTATGTCATTAACAATTTCTACTGAATTACAGATAAATCAATTTTCTGTGCAAATTGGAAAAAAAATCTTCATTTATAAACGTGAGAAAACAAGATCTGTTGGTATCCTTAACACCAATAACGATAAAATGGTCAACAGAGCTGTGATGTGGAATAATTGAACCTTTATTGCCGACCACTGACGTCTGACGATGCTGGGAATCAGCTGTTTGACCTACTTATTGCCGAGTGATTGATGTTTGATTGACCTAGTTATCACGTGACAATGACGCATATTGTCTGTGACAAGGTTTCTTGTACTGATTAGACAAAAAAGGTACTGCGTCTTTAAAGAAATGAAATTATGAAGTCCAAAAGTCTCCTTTAAGAAATTGTAAACCAACATGAAAAGTAAGTTGACGACATTATGTAGCTTTTCTCCAACAATCAATTTGTTTTCTCTTGAACAAAGTGCAGTCAATCTTTTGTTTTGTTCAAATTACCCTTCGTTATTCTTATTCACGGTGAATGGTAATAGAATCGGGGTCGTTTGTGGTGAAATCAATTAAGAAGAATGTCAGCAAATTATTCTATTCAGATGTTCTCAAACAATTTTGATGAAGGATATAATCTAGTAAAGATATTCTCCAAGTGATAAATTATTAATAAACTATTGCCGATCTTAATTATTTAAATACTTTTTTTATATGTCAGCTTCGCAGCATGCCTTATGCAAAGTGTCTTCTGTTTATGTTAACGTTTGATAATCAATGCCATCGGAAATGGATTGCTTTGGGTGCATTCTGCATCCCTCTAAAAATAACCAAACACATCCTTTAAGGAAAAACCATACTCTTACTTCTTTTTGAAGAAAATGCAACTAGATTTTGGTAATAATTAATGTAATTTTTATATACTTCAATTAAACACCTTAAGCTGTACAATAGATGGTTTTTAAGAAACTCTGGGTGGGATGAGTAGTATTCAATCGCAGATGCTAAAAAAAAATGATGCAGCAGGTAATACCACAAAGCAACACTCGTCTGAGTTTCTGTCCACGTGACCTTCAGTGTAAACTCACCTTCCTGATGTGTCAGTGTTAACTGGAACCTCGCTTTCATATCTGGCTCGTCCATACAGGGAAACGTCTTCCGGGCATCAGTAGACTGAAGCTGTGTTGCTGCCAAGCGTCTGTAAAATGATGTTTTATTTTGTTTTTTTCTGCTTAACGTTAGCTTTACTTATAAACCTTTCCTTGTAAAAAATTTTCAAGACCTGAAAAACCTTTCCTGGTAATTTTTTTCCGTCATCCGTCTGTTAACTCTTTATAATTTAAATGTATTTTCCCGTATGCATTCAGTTGTCCTATTGTTTAACCCAATTTGCTACATAATATTCCTAGTTTGGGAGGTAAGATCACATGAAGAGATGCGCGATTACGAAAAAGTAATTTAGCAAAATCGAAAAATGAAATAGGGTCAACGAGTAATTGAAAATTATAAGTAACACTTTGAACAGCAGAAAAATTACAAAAAACTACAATCTTTGTTAATTTGTAGACATGGGGAGCTATATAAATATCAATGTTTTACAGTGAGAAGATAAGAAAAAATCTCGAAAACAGTTTGGTCATGATTTTTTTAAATTCAAAATAATTAAAAAAACTACTGAATAGATATAAAAATGTTTACTTCTCGAGAAGAATAAGGCAATTGTCAAATTGACATTACATTTGTCTTCGATTCAAGGTAGTTCAATGTATCCCCCGCCTCGGAATATGATAAAAAACGCAGGTATGCAATCAGGTCGGTCGACCTCTTGGTACATTTACTGCCACAAAAAATCTAATTGCCTTTTTTTCTGGTTGCCATACTTACGTACATTTTTGAATCACCAAATACCTGCTTTGCTTAAAAATAGTTGTCTAAGCACATGTGTACTTAAAATAGAAAGAAACATTTTTTTATCCAATAATAATAAGTTGTTTTGTTAATGATTTTGAAATATGTAAATATAAGTTGAAAACAAACACGCAAGATCTGCATAAGCGTCGATATGATTGTTTTAAGAGAATATCTAACATTTGTATATTATAGACAATCTACACACGATTAAGATAAGCAACAGTGATAAAAACATCTAGTTCTAAAAGTCTAAAGATTCTATAAATATAATATCTGTGATATATTGTAAAGCGGGCACCTGTCAGTCATATATCTACATCATCATACTATAAGTGGTGGAACATTTACATGTCTGATCCATCGATAATAAAGGGTAAAAAATGGAGATTGTGGCAGAATTACACATGTATCTTGGCTCCGTTATACAAAAAAAGTAATTATACGCAAATTATTTTTTTTCTTTGCATTAGTTTTAAAATGGTTTTAAATCTTTGAAAGAATTTCTAAAAACAAATTCAGGTTTTTTCATGCAAACAACTATAAAATGAACTAAAAATTTTGTAAAATTTAATTTTCAAAAAAGCTCAGATTTATTGTCTGATTTGAAAGTTCTTTTGCAAAACGGATCCCCTGAATCATATACATTGAAACAAATGCTATAATGCCACGGTGCATGTGCATATAGTCTTTTCCTCTATAAATACCCTTTTTAACATAGGAAATTGTGCCTTTTAAATTGAAGAACGATATTTCTCTATTTGCACTAAAACTGTAGTTTCGGTGACTTTTGATAAAGATTTTTTTTTTCAAGATTGAAACACTTTTGGAGTCTTGTTTACGGTGTGTATCATTTCATGAATTACAATAAGCACAGGCCTTAATATCGCTTAGAAAAAATTGAGGTGTTGAAAAACACACAATTTTTTTAAGCGATCAAAAGGCGTGTGTCAATACAATATAGATGCTACGCGTATATCGTGAATAATGCATAATCGCATAGAGACGCGCTCAAATAAAAAAAAAAATTATCTAGCCGGGTGGAGGGGGCGGATACAAAACTTAAAATAAATGTGATTCAGATATTGTTTGACAAACAAAAAATACACAACCCTAAATTCATTTTCAACATGATCAGACCTTAAAAGCCAATTAGGTTGGGATGTAAAGTATAAGTGTTACATCAAAATTTTGCAATTTAAGAAATTTGAAAACTATATATAAAACAATTTCTAAACCCCTTAAAATTACCACACTCGATCTAGACCTGCACATTTACTGTCAGTGAATTCAAAATCTTCAATCTGTCAAAAAACCAAACGTACTTGACTTTACTGAATCACAAAAATAAAGAACAACAATTATTTTGTCTATTTTTTACAGAACTATTACGTGTAAGGTTTTGTAGTTTATTATCCTTTTTAACGTTTATTGACGACACGTCAAATTGGGAAAATGTGTTACATTTGCCATTACTGCAGAAGAAGCAAACATGTTTCTTTTAATTGTGTGGTTTGTGTGTTTGGTAGATTTTATCTTTGACAAGATAATTGTTCCGCTGACAAGAAAAAGTGGTAAGTTAATTTTCTGTAACGCTACACGCATCAATCACTGATTGTTTGCTGCATTTTCTCAAGTGCTGTGATCTTAAGTTCTAACTATTCAGTGCTGTGAAAGCTTTATGTTTCAACATTTTTGCTCAATACTGAAGCTTATTTGCAATATTTTACACAAAGTCTGACAGTGAGTCCCTATTTGTTTATATTAAATGGAAGAGCTTATCATTCTGCTCAAGTTTTGTTCTGTATGTTTTAATAAAATATTTACAAATAAAGAGATATTCTTTAAAAAATACTGAAAGTTTTTTTTTAAAAAGGAAGAAAAAGTTGAAGAAGTAGCCTTTGGAGTGAAAAAAAATCTGTAGGACAATCCATTTGTCATTTTATCTCCAAGATAAATCAATGAAATAATTAAGATCTTTCCATGATGTAACGAATTGTTGCATTTGGAAGGTGTCGAAGAATTAACTTCTCGAATGGATGGCAGAAAAGGTTGAAGATTTTTATTTAATACGCAACGTAATAGAAAACTAGTTTTGGGTTACGGAATATATGTGAAAAAAATTGCAAAAGAGAAGTGTTCTTGATTTTCTTTTTGTGTCGTTGCGTGAGTTGATAAATGTCTTAAAATTGTTTTAACGTTTAAGGAATAATTTTAAAGCAAAGCACTAACATTTGAAATTTAAAGACGTACAACACACTGGGGGAGATAACTCTTGCGATTTCAATTGAACGTTTGACGTGACGTCAAATTTAACGTCAAAAATAAAGCGTCAAAACGACGAGTAAAACGATCCCGATATATATCAATCATGAAAGAAAATTGGGATATGGGGCTTGGCTGTGATTGTGCGTACCATACTCAATCAATAAGTATTTCTTTAATTAACCCAATAGTAAACTCCGTAAAAAGCAAGACATAAAATACCATCCCCTAATGTTTATTTCATTTCATTTCATATACAATAAATTGTATTTTTTATCAAAGCGCAGCATTTTTTTTTATTCTGAAATTTTTATTTTACATTGCCGAAATTCTCATTATGTACAACTGGCTATATAACATTCCGATTAATGATCTTCATTACAATTTGTGCATACACGATATAAATGCATGTATTGTTTTTCTTCTTTAATTAAATAAAACAACAACAAATAAACAAAAAACTTTTTACAATGTAAAATCGATGTTGTTCTCAGACCCTTACTGATCAAAGAGGAACAACTCTGAAAATGTAGGAGATGTTTATTTTCCTCCCTTTATTCACAGTTTCCACAGAATCAGATACATTTACAGCAAGACCTGATAAATTCGAGAATTGAGTACTATAGACCTCATATACACAATGTAAGTATAGAATTGAAAAGAATTGTTCACTTGTACTGAAATTATCTGCAATTATGAATATCCTATTGCAGCAAGTCGTAACTTTGACTTTCTGTCAACAATGTCGGTTCGCATTTCCTCGAATCAAAACAAAACGTAGCCTATAAGATTTTAAAAAATATCAATGTGCGATTTGATATAAATTGAAATAGATGAAGAGTTTAATGTTTGATATTTTGAAGTTAATTTGGACGAATGCGGAATTTTCATTTTAACTTTAGAAGCGACGACATTGAAAGAAATGCGTACAATATCATGAGGGGTGTATGTAGGCCTACATCTAATGTAAATGTCGATGTATCCCCACGGCCACAATGGCACATACTGTCTCGTTTGAAATAATGACATGAAAGAAACTACAATTATTCCATTTATATCACAGGAGAGTTGAACATACACCATTTTTCATGTTTTTTAATGAATAATTAAAATTAAAGAAATAAAATTAAAAATAAACATATTCACGTTCAACAAAACTTTGAATTCGTATCCAGGTTTCATGTGATATGGAATGCATAATGCATACGTATATGGACTAAACACTAAAATCTTTCAGTAATATTTTCCTGATACATATAAAAAGAGTAGTCAATATTTATTCTGCATTCATGAATTTAAAAACTAATGCATAGCTCCGGGATTCTTGACGAAATACCAGTATATTTGCACTGTAAACGACGTTTCGTCAAACGCTAATGGTCTGCGACGCAAAAAAGGAAGGGGTGGGGGTGATAGGGGTATTCAAAAATTGCCTTAAAATCTACATTTAAATACGCTTTACATATGAGAACTTTTAAATTTGTAAGTTAATATATTTTTCAAGCAAAAGCAATATTCTAATTTATTTTTTTTAAATGTGTATTTGTAGATTCATACAACAAAGTGATTGACCCTCGTCTGAAAGACGCGCGGGAACGTGATTTATTGAGAAAGGGGGAGGGGGTAATTTTCCGCTATTAAATCAAAACTGGTCGTACAAAAATTATACAAAAAATAATGAAGATTATTTTTACTATCAGGTACCTAAAGAAAGTTTTTTACCAAAATTAAACGACAGGATTTTTCACAAAAAAATTTTGAATTTGAAAAATACGCTATTTTCAAGGCTTAGAAAATTCATAGTTTTTCAGTTTAAGGTCTTTAAAAATTGTTTTGATGATATGTATATCAAAAAGATGACTATGTTTTTGTGTTAAATGGTTAAAGGAATAAGCCAATGAAATTTGACATTTATATCCAACCTGGTTTTTTTTTGAAAATCAAGGTTTAAGTAGTTCATTGATTAAAAAATTTCTCTCCTTGTAAACAACTAAAGGGGGGTAACTTTCGGAAGTTCCTGTCCAAAAACCACTCGAACGATTTTGTCCAAAATATGCATGCATGCAGTAGATATAGTCGTGTACCAAATATATAAAAATAACGAAAATTAAACGACAGGAATTTTTTGGGGTAGGTGTGTTGTACATCCTTAAGACATGCATTTCATTCTGTTAAGAAACGGGTTTATGTCATAACGGATCTATACATGAAATATGATAAATAATATATGATAAAGGACGGTTTCAGCTGAAAATAATTATCCACTAATTTGATTCAGGCTGACCACCATTAATACCGAATATACTCGCCTATAACTCGATTTCAATGAATATATTTTTTTTTAGAAATGAAGTCGATATATAACATTAAATCATAAAAAATAATACCCTTTAAAGATTAAAAAAATAAAATTATTAAATACATGTACATAAAATCCGTAATTTATGTATAATCTTAAAATACATAAATGATATAATATATCCATACTTTCTTTAACAATAGCTGTTGAAAATGTTTATAGAATACTACGATTCGCCATCTAGAAAAATATATGTCTTTTTATGACTCGCCTATAATTCGGACATTGACTTTTGGACTAAAATTTATCTCCAAAAATACCGCCTTATAGGCGAGTATATACAGTACGTTAATTACAATTTAAGAGCCTATGAATAATCGATGGTTTAAAAGCACTACTTAACCCTCCTCCACCCCTTTCAATAGACCCAGTGGCCACACCGCTCACACGAGTCTTTTATTAACTGAGATAAAGGAATGTATTATTTCCATGAAAAAAATTGAATACATTTTATCGTAGCCCAAAGTTGAATCAACACTAAGTTAACATCTTTAATCTTCAGGAAAAAAAAACTTTTCTAACGATTTATATATATTGAAACTTGAATTTGATCCACCATATATTTTCACATTTAGCCTAATGCAGTAAAACACGTTTACTACGAACACGGATATAGCGAATTCACGGATATAACGAAGTGTTTCTGGGTCCCGGGCAAAATTCTTAACAAATCTTTGTAAAATTTTACGGTTATAACGAACTCTGATATAACGAATTTACGGATATAGCGAACTGATTTTGAGTCCCGTTGAGGTTAAATATAATGAATTTTACATCTTTTATAACGAACTTTTAAAGATTTCAAAATTTGAATAATTGAACTGACTATATTTTCTCTCAGCATTTGTATATAAAATTCAATTCATAATAAAACCTTAGTTATCGAAGGTATGTTTTGTAGTGTTTGCTTCCCTAACATATCTGATAGTAACACTTGAAGGAAAACATGCATATTCCGAATTCGCTTTATATGGTTATACGAATTCGTTATACGGATATAACGAATTACGGATATTGCGAATTAAATTCACAGGTTCCCAGGACTTCGCTATAACCGTGTTTTACTGTGATCATAATCAACTGATAATCTGAGCGATGAAATAAATCCTAGCTATACGCTAAGATGATTGCCCATCAATATATCACTGAGCTAATTTGTAGATAGGTTTTTTTTTCTTGAGAGGGCATTTTTATTTTGATTACCTTTAATTTTTACCCCCATAGGCACATGTGTTCTATATTTCATTTTCCTAAATTTTTAAAAATAGATCTGTAACAGTCATTTAACGTGTGAAATTTGTTTATAAGTACGACATACGATAGCTTTTTAATTGAAATCAAGCTTTACATTAAGGGCTACTTCGTACAAGAGATAACAGGCAATCAATCGGGAAGGACAATAAAAGTAAGATCCATACCTGGTCTCCCCCTCGGGTGTGACGTAGGTACTGAGGTAAATCCCCCTTAAGTCTTCGTGTAAATTCCCGCGATACCCCACACTCACTAAATACACGGTCCCTGCCGAGAGTTCCGAAGTTAGCTCAATCACCCAAAACTGATTTTTGACATAACGAAACTGTTTTAATATTTCAAATGTTTTATGAGTGTTTTTGTCTATAATTTTCACAGACGTCCTGTACAGAAATATATGAGAAATGTGGAATATAACAAAATTAGTATTTTTAGTACATTTTAAGGTCATATTGACATGACCACGATAAGTTAAATTTTCTAAGTCCACTTTAAGATTAATTTCGTAAAGTAAAGGCATGAGGTCCCTCGAAAGGCGAATTTCCCGCCAAGGTGTCTCTTTCGGAATGACTTTCTCTTCCGGGACCTCTTTTGATTCTTCCTCTTTATTAACACTGCTATTTTCTGAAACTGTAGAATTCTCAACTTCCGCTAGATTTTCACTTAGTATTGTTACAGAAGTTTGATTCCTAACGTAGGAGTAGTCTAACGTGACATTAGTGTAAGGTTTGGGGCTATCACAGCTACATATGGGTTCAGACATTGACCCGTATATAATTCGCTCCTTTTTCACAAAAGCCACTAACGCAACTGCAGTACACAAAATGAATAAGTTCCCGAGAATTAGACACGTGCCTTGGAATCGACTCAGATAGCACCCTGTCCGTCTGTCTGTGCTGTATTCCACAAATAAATCTTTCT